ACATGCATACTGCAGCATTTGAAGATCAAGCCCTAATATTGCAAAAGTACAACTGCTGCTTAAAATTGTGTAAAAAGCAGAAGTTATGAAACTGACCGGATAAGACAAATAACAGATAAATCAATGTTCTGTTTTTAAGCCAAGCCTTTACTACTGCTTTTAAAAACAGCCTGACAAAACATGATCAACGGTAGAAAGTAATAAAGTGCATTTATTTAATTTCTGTACGTACTGTAAGTACTTTTTTGATTATATTTAGATTACTTGAGTATTTCTTTTTTATGGTCGGTACTTATAACTTTGACTCCACTACATTTCAAACTCAAAAAAAAAAAAAAAAAAGATAATCATAATAATGATTGAGCAAATTATATTTCAGATTTTGTTTAAATCTAAATTATTTTCTGATCCTAATACCGTATTTTCACGACCATAAGGCGCACCGGACTAAAAGGCGCACTCTCAGTTATGTGTCCCATTTCTGTATTTAACACACACATAAGGCGCACCGGACTATAGGGCGCGTTTTTTATATACAGGTACATGTCCTCTACTACCTTTAGATACCTCTACTGCGTATTTAAAAATACAGCGGGGGCAAAACTGAGTATGACTGTGCTTTATTAATTTATTTATTACAAAGTATTAATCAAACCTGGCAGCTGGCCGTGAGACAGACACATCGCAGATGACACAGCGCTGTGATCACTCCTAAATTAACTTAAAATCCTGAAACCTGCCGACGGAATATGTTCGCTTTTATTACCGGTATCCTGGTGCCTGCAGCTAAAATTATTTAGATGAAAAACACCTGCCAGCAGCCGCGGTGAACGAAAGGATTTCTCGTGTCGGTGCACCGCTGGTATGTGGGGGTCTGAGCGCCTCCGACAGAAATAGAAAATCTGGATGAACTGACTGCAATTATTAAGTTTTCAGGTGGCCTTTCTCACTTAAAAACATATTAAAACTACTTTATTACAACTGATCACAGCAAATATAGCTGCAAGATTTAGATTATTTAGATGAAAAAACACCTGCCAGCCACCGCGGTGAAGAGGAGGAGACGCGCTCAGAGGCAGCTGTTGAATTAAGTTTTCAGGGAGAAAAATAGAGCGGGAGCAAACCTGAGTATGATTGTGCTTTATTCATGTATTTATTACAAAGTATTAATCAAACCCATCAAAGTCATCATCCTCTGTTTCTGAATTAAACAGCTGCGCTAAATCAGACATGCCAGTTTCCCCTTCTTCGCTGTCAGAGTCACTTTCCGTGCAGCGCAGCTCCTCAGAAATAATGCCTGCTTTTGCAAAAGCTTGAACAACAGAGCCAGCAGACACAGTCCATCTACAATCCATCCGCAAACGGTGGCGTAACTTGCACGGCGCTGCCTTCCATTTATCATGAAACTGTGGTCTCAGTCTGTCATCCATCGCTCCCACGCCGCTCGCAGCCTTACTATGAACGGCCGCTTCACACCGATGTCAAGCGGTGGAAGTTCCTTTGTCAGACCCCCCGGGATAACGGCGAGCACAGCGTTCATTTGATTCATCTTTTTTTCACATCGGCTGTGAGATGGGCACGCAGCGATGGTGATGCGTGGAAAAAAGCACCTGGTCTCCTCACATACACCTGCCTTTCATTATCTCCTCATTCATCCAGCCTTTTTCATTTGCGTTAATATCATGTCATCAGAGCGCTGTCTGTCTCCCAGCCAGCTCCCAGATCAGCTTCTCTGATTGGTTGATGCGGCGCGTCCAGCAGCAAAACTTCAATTTTTCCATCTGAGCAGCAGCAGCGCGTTGGCGGTGCGTCAGATGCTTAAACGCTCCCGACGTGCTGCACCAAAACGCGCTGCAGGACCTATTGCTGCATCTATACGCGCGTCAACCATTGACTTTGCATGTAAACTCGCTGCTTCTGCTGCACCTGCTGGGTACGGTTCACACCGATGTCGAGTGGTTGAACAGCGAGCACAGGGTTAATTTGTTTCCCCATGTTTTTCACATCAGCTGTGAGATGGGCACGCATGGAGTTACATATTAACAGCGATGGTGAGGGGTGGAAAAAAAACACCTGGTCTCCTTACATTCAGCCACTCTTTCATCATCTCCTCAATGAGGTGGTCTCAAAAGTCGCAGTTACAACACACATAAGGCGCACCGCACCATAGGGCGCACCGCACATTTTGAGGAAAAAAAAAGACGTTTAAGTGCGCCTTATAGTCGTGAAAATACGGTAAGTTATACTGATCAAGAAAGGATTTGTATAGACCAGGGGTCTTCAACATTTTCCAGGCCAAGGACCCCCAAACCGATGGCGAGATGGAGCGGGGACCCCCTAATTATATATATTGTATGAAACTGGTCCTATAGTCACTCTATTACAGATGGAGTAATGTTTACGAAAGTAATTTGGCCCTGGGATTATTAAAGTATTTCTGATTCTGATTCCTGGTTGATGGGACAGGTGTTGTGAATGAAACGGTGCCCAGCTTGAAAGAGCTCCTGTGTGTCGCTGAATGTGTTCATTGATGACTGAAAGACATCTTCTGCCTTCATTTATTTGTTTACTACAGTGTGTTGAATTCATGTTAATGTGGATTTAAAGACATTTAGATCAGTGAAAAAAATTGCAGGGGGGAATATAAAAAGAAGTCTAATCAACCAAAACTTTCGCGACCCCCCTGCAGTACCTCCGTGGACCCCCTTGGGGGTCACGGACCCCCTGTTGAAGACCTCTGGTATAGACTAATAAAGATGTAATAGTGAAATCCTAAAGAAATAGTAGTATACTTCAAAATTCTTCTTGATTAATTTATTATTAGTTAACTATTTAAAAGGAGATATAATGTGTTTAACTAAGAATACCCAGGAGTTTTTTTTATTCTAAGGAGTACAAAATAATATTTTGAAGCAAACCACTGCCTCCAAAAAGATTTAGATTATTGATTACTGCTTTGCTGAAGGCCCACACTTTCCAATGTCTTCTAAATGGGTTGATTATAGAATGGTAATGTCGCTGTGAGATATATTTGGTAAGCTGAAGACAAAATCAAAGCAGCAAGTTGAGAATAACCCATCAATCTACTCATCCTGTCATATTTCTTGGTTATTTTTATTCTTTATTGAGTTTTAACCAAGTCTTTATCTGTTATTCCTCCTCTCTTCATCTCTGATTATTTCTTCTCTTGAGAATGGGTTTCCGGAATTAAAGATAAACCAAGGGACTGAGGAATATTCAGTAGTTGAGTCAGATTTTAAATAGGCAGTGCAACCTCAGAAAAAACAGAGGCTGTTGGGCCTCAGATTTCCACATCAACAGAGTTAGAGGATGGAATCAAAACTGCAGTTGTATTATCTATATCTATATTGTCTATAAGTGTATTGGTCTGCACTTTTTCCAAAAACATATATATAATTGTGAACAGGTCTTCAGCTTAGTTCATTGACATTTACATTAGATTTTTTTGATAGACACATCGTCTGCTGTTAGAGCCTGCTGGAACAATTTATGTCTTGAAGACAGGTAAAATATTTCCAAATGAAAGAATTTCTGCTTTAACCTAAACTTTATTCAAAGTAGACAGTTAGATGTACTCCCAATGGAGTTGAACGTTAATACTTTCATTTTACACATTTCTTATTAAATAGGTGCCAATATTATGTTCATGATGTTGTTTCTTTATTTCGAATCAATCTATGAAAACATAAAATAATAAATAATAAATTGTAATAATAGCAATAACATCATGACTCTTTTACGAATGAGCACCAATAAGCATTTTATCTTGAAGGAAGCTTAAATTTTTGCTGTAGGATTTGACTCTGATAAGATATAAGATGAGCTTGATAGTGTTTTTTATATGTAGAAATAATCTTAATTTATTCCTTAACATTGATACCTTAGGGCCCTGTCACACCTTGCCGATTTAGCCAGCGTATGCCTGACATCCTAGAATCTCCTAAAACTCTGGCAGATGATGAACGTTCTATGATTTTTTTTAAATTTTGGGCGTATACATAGCATATTCATAACAAGCCCAGAACTCATGTCCAACGACAGCCTAACTTATGCATAATGCACAGCAGCGTAAAGCCCATAAAATGATGCACAAACATCACTTCATGCGCCCGGTCTGCATAAAAAGATTTATTTGATTGCGGTATTAACCTGGCTGTTGTTTGCCATCCATCAAGAAAAACAATGAATAAAAAAAGAAAGAAAGAAGGTTTGCAGTCGCAGCAGATTCAGCATCATGTCTGCTAGGAAGTTTCTAAGTCATGGCCATGGGCTTGATTGCAGGGAAGATCCATCACACTCACCTTCTCGCTCACACTATGATGTGGATGAAGTCCGGAGGAGAACTGATGGTTTTCCTCCTGTGAACCCCTTTTTATACCAAAATGCTGCCAATATGCTATTAACAACAGCTGTAAGTTAGAAACACGTTCAGCAGTCATCTGTAACACGTCAGATACCTTGATATACGTTGGAAATAAGTTTTTGAAAAGTTAACTATAAGTTATGCACAAGTTAATCATAGGTTTTGGATAAGCTAGACACCACAACCTAATAATAACTTACACTTGATGTGTGTAAACAATCAGATAAGTTACCTGTAACTTATGGCCCGCATACTACAATACGCTGGCATACGTTTGGAAATTTTGAGCATGCTCAAAACTTCCCGACGTACTTGTCGTATGTCGACGTGCTTTAGGATTTTTCGTACGTCAGGCATACACTGGTCTAAATCGTCAAGGTGTGAAAAGAGCTTTGGGGACACATTTGAAAAAAATACCCTTAGAAACCCACCTTGGAAACAACAGCTTTACAAATTAGTTGATTATGCTTTAAAGTCTTGTTCAAGTCTCGCTCCTACATAAGCCTTTTATATGTTTTTCATTAGCAATATTCAAAGAGATTAAAATTTTACAAAAACGGTAGGACAGTTTGTTCAACCTTCATCCTACTTTCCTTTTCTCTCAGCAAACACTGACCTGAGGTCCATATGTTCCAGCAGGGGCCCAGCAGCTGCACCTAGCACCCAGACAGTGAAGCCTATCAGAAGTAGAGTGGTGGTGAGGATTGTGCGCTGTGCTTCTGTCGATGTGTTTCTCACAGCCAGGCTAAAAGAAATAGCGCCTCTTAAACCTGAGAACAGATTGGAAACAAAGCTAATTTCAGAGCAAACAAATTGATTCATGGCATCTGTTAAACAATCATTCTAGGAACAAATTACTTATAAAAGGCTGCAAAAAGACATCTAGATAATAGTGCTATAGAAGGGAGACATTTTAGACCCGGGCCATGAATTACTTTACACTTGTTGGCCAACATATTGTTTATATTGTGTAATAAAATACCTAAAAGCAAAACATTTTCCATTGCATTTCCCTTGGGAAAAAAGAAGGGTAGGTGTTAGTTGCTTTTGTAGGTAAATAATTCCCCAAAAAACTGTATGATAAGGGCTTTAAAGAGAAGCGTTCTTACTTAAGTAGTAAAGTAGGTCAGGCATGCAGACGTACAGGATGGTGCATCACTTAACATCAAACATTTCTTCCCTTTCAGTCTCAAGATTACATGAAGCACTGAAATAGTACTCTCTATGATGCTTATATTAAGCTGTCTATTTATATACATTTATTTTGATCAGACTTAACATGCTATGAGTGAAAAAATAGAAACATTTACAGGTGCTGGTCATAAAATTAGAATATCATGAAAAAGTAGATTGATTTCAGTAATTCCATTTAAAAAGTGAAACTTGTATATTATATTCATACATTACATACAAACTCATATATTTCAGATGTTTATTTTGTTTAATTTTGATGATTACAAATGACAACAAATGAAAATCTCAAATTCATCATATCAGAAAATTAGAATATTGTGAAAAGGTTCAAAATTGATGGCCCCTGGTGCCACACTCTAATCAGCTAATTAACTCAAACCACCTGCAAAAGCCTTTAAATGGTCTTTCAGTCTAGTTCTATAGGCTACACAATCATGGGGAAGACTGCTGACTTGACAGTTGTCCAAAAGACGACCATCGACACCTTGCACAAGGAGGGCAAGACACAAAAGGTCATCGCTAAAGAGGCTGGCTGTTCACAGAGCTCAGTGTCCAAGCACATTAATAGAGAGGCGAAGGGAAGGAAAAGATGTGGTCGAAAAAAGTGTACAAGCAAGAGAGATAACCGCACCCTGGAGAGGATTGTGAAACAAAACCCCTTCAAAAATGTGGGGGAGATTCACAAAGAGTGGACTGCAGCTGGAGTGAGTGCTTCAAGAACCACCACACACAGACGTATGAAAGACATGGGTTTCTGCTGTCGCATTCCTTGTGTCAAGCCACTCTTGAACCACAGACAGCGTCAGAAGCGTCTTGCCTGGGCTAAAGAGAAACAGGACTGGACTGCTGGTGAGTGGTCCAAAGTCATGTTCTCTGATGAAAGTAAATTTTGCATTTCCTTTGGAAATCAAGGTCCCAGAGTCTGGAGGAAAAGAAGAGAGGCACTTCATCCACGTTGCTTGAAGTCCAGTGTAAAGTTTCCACAGTCAGTGATGGTTTGGGGTGCCATGTCATCTGCTGGTGTTGGTCCATTGTGTTTTCTGAGGTCCAGGGTCAACGCAGCCACATACCAGGAAGTTTTAGAGCACTTCATGCTTCCTGCAGCTGACCAACTTTTTGGAGATGCAGATTTCATTTTCCAACAGGACTTGGCACCTGCACACAGTGCCAAAGCTACCAGTACCTGGTTGAAGGACCATGGTATCCCTGTTCTTAATTGGCCAGCAAACTCTCCTGACCTTAACCCAATAGAAAATCTATGGGGTATTGTGAAGAAGAAGATGCAATACACCAGACCCAACAATTCGGAAGAGCTAAAAGCCACTATTAGAGCAACCTGGGCTATCATAACACCTGAGCAGTGCCACAGACTGATCGACTCCATGCCACGCCGCATTGCTGCAGTAATACAGGCCAAAGGAGGCCCAACTAAATACTGAGTGCTGTACATGCTCATACTTTTCATGTTCATACTTTTCAGTTGGCCAACATTTCTATAAATCCTTTGTTTTTATTGGTCTTCAGTAATATTCTAATTTTCTGATATGATGAATTTGAGATTTTCATTTGTTGTCATTTGTAATCATCAAAATTAAACAAAATAAACATCTGAAATATATGAGTTTGTATGTAATGTATGAATATAATATACAAGTTTCACTTTTTAAATGGAATTACTGAAATCAATCTACTTTTTCATGATATTCTAATTTTATGACCAGCACCTGTATGACTCTGAATCTATCCGTTCAACCAGAACCGCACTCAGGAGCAACGGTAATAAAATATTAAAAGCTTAAAGTAGGTGCTGGCGTTTGTGCCTGTCAAACTAACTCTATAAAGACATTGTTTTACACTTATTCCACATGGGACATCTTCCCTCATCCTCATTGCTTAGACTGTTAGCTGCAGGCCCTGAACGATGGGATAAATCAGAGAGGAAGTTTCCTTTTTTTCAAACGTTGTGCAGAAATAAGATCACAAATCCAACCTTTATGCCTCCAGCACTCCCACTTGTAGCTATGCTAGATGCCAAAAACCAGTTAGAAGTCGGAGAAAACAGTACCTGCAAATACCATGAAGTGTTGGATGTTGCGAGATATCTTGTTCGTACGCCCCAAGTTTATAAGGAAAGACAAAGGATAGATGTTGCAGGCTCTTGAAATAAAGATAGATAGCTGTAGGAATTGAATATGGTTAAGGAAAATGTAACAAAATTCACCTGTGAAAAAAAGAACAAATGAGTTACTACATGGTTTAATGCTTCACAAATTTGCAAGGCTTTATAGTGAGTTAGCACTTAGTGGTAAAAAAAAAATTAAAAATTAAAAAAACATTTCAGAATACCTCTACATTAAACATGTATTCTGTTAATATTGTCAAAACGTACCGATATAAGTACAAGTTTCACAATGTTGTGTATTTTGTGTGAAACTGGTCATTTTGGTTCATAACTATTAAACATAGCTCAACTTAAATAGCTTTTAAAATGTAAAAAAAAGTCTACTTTTTGAAGAATAGGTCATTTTTATAAACATCAATATAATCTTACTGTTCATTGTCAGATTTTCCCCCCAGAATTTATTTATTGTTTTTGACATGCTGTACTTGATCTTGACCATAAATTAATATTGAAATCTGATTTTCACAAATGTAAGACGAAAAGCCAGCATAATAAGTAAGGTCGCTCTATGAATCCTTTTTATTTATCTTCTTATTAAACCAAAGGCTTTCTATTCTTCTAATGGTAAATGGCCTATAATTATATAGCGCTTTTTTCAAGTCGGGACACTTGAAAAAAGCGCTTTACACTACATTCAGTCATTCACCCATTCATACACACTCACACACTGATGGTGGCAAGCTACATCGTAGCCACAGCTGCCATGGGGCTCACTGACAGAAGCAGGGCTGCTCTACACTGGCGCCATCGGGCCCTCTGACCACCATCAGTAGACAATGCAGGTAAAGTGTCTTGCCCAAGGACACAACGACACTAAAAGCCGGAGCTGGATCTTCAACCGTCAACCTATCAATTTCAGGGCAAAATTGTACATCCGACGCCACTGTCTTCCCAATAATAGGTACATTTAAAGCAATTTAAGTACATTTTTACAATTTAATCTAAAAAGAATATCCTTTTTTTTACCCTATCAAAAACAGTAATAATAGCCTTTTGGGTAGCTAATATTATCTGTTCATTTAATATGTATAAAATTACAAATTTTAGGGATTTCAGGCCAGTCTGAATCAAAAGACCATGGGAAATTTTTGGCTGACAGTGGAAAGCCAGCGTCATATTACACATGTCTATGAGTCTAATAAGGGCGGAAAGGCTGGTCTATAAAGAGAAAAAAATACTTGGCAACAATGTCCAAGGCAAAAAAGGTGGGAGGTAAAAAATCTGAGAGCACCATCCCAACTGAAACATATAGTAGTGGCAACATCATGTTGTGTTGGTATGCATAAAAAAAAAAGAATACATGTTTCAACGCAAAACAAATAATTTAAAATCATTTCAAAGGTCTAGTCTGATTTAATGAGAGACACTTTTTACACAACGTATGAAAACACTATACAATATAAATATCATATAAAAATACAATATCTAAACATTGTGTGTTTATAATATAAACAACACAGTGTGGCCTCTTACTGAATCATGAAACCAATCAGGTGCTGCCAGCTGTCCCTGCTCTAGACATCCACTTTGATGTTGCACACAGGATGGGAGAGAATGCTAAGTGTCCAGAGTAGTAATACGGAAAATGATAGGTGGGCATTTATTAGTGCTACAGCTGCCATTTTTTGACACATATAATGTGTTCTATCACATTTTTGGTAAAAACTGCAATTGCCATCTCCTGACAGTGATTGAAATTCTGGTTTATACCATCACATCTGCAGTTTTGCCATTAAGAGGACACAGCTAAATGTGTTTTTCAAACAGTTTAATCTTTGATGTATGAGCACCATTTATGCAGACAGGTAACCTTGTTTTAGATTCAGGGGGAATAGAATTTAATCTTTCTCAAGGGAAAGTCAAATGTGATGCAAGAAATAAAAACAGCACCAATATCTACAGCAGGGAAGGCTAATATGACAGAGCTATTACTAAAACAGAGTTCCCTCGCATCCTGCAGTCAATATTAAATCTTATGAACCCTATGGAATTTAAAAAGCAATATCCTGCTCCCAAAAGCAGCCATCTCTTTTCTTCAAAGGCCTTTGAGCTATTTGAATGGAGGTAATTAAGCACTCTTCTCAGCTCCATTTCCAATAAAGTCAATCTCCATTCTCACCGGCTAAGGCTGGAAGCTGCAGCGATTAAAATCTACTAAATAGCCAAAGAGCGATTAACATGGGGTGAATTACTCTGGTTATTTCGATTTTATAGATACGTTTACGGCCCTTCAAGATGACTCTGACTTCCATTTCTTTCTGTTTGTACAACTGGGCCAGTTTTGCGGGGGAAGCGGATTGGGAGATCTTGTGTGGATGTTAATATGCTGGACGGTTAAACTCACTTTGCACGTTTTCCTCCCCACAAGCTGCTGAGGAAAAAAACAGTGCACTGAGAAAGGAATCTGCTCAGTCCATGTTTCTGTGGCCCCTTTGACCCTGACCTGGACGATGAACTATAACAATAATTACTGACAGTCTGAGCAGTGGACTGTGAAAGAACAACTCCTTGGAGAGCAGCCACTTAAGCCTGTTTTCTGGCATAAACTACTCTAATGTCAGCTCCAAAGAAAGGATGGCTTTGCAATGGACAGCCATCCAGGAAAAAAAAAAACTGACAAACTACAACAGCAGTGTGAAGTATGAAACTTATTTTATGATATTTAAAATTTGCCAAACTGGCTTTTGTCATTGTAAACATTCGGTTTTTAAACAGGTGTAAACACTTTAGCAGTTGACCAAATAAAATAGTTAACTGGGTAAGCAAACAGCCTCCCAGGGTTCCCAGTGTTTCCCAGCATCCCAAATGCATGGACTTATTTCAAATTTATTCTAGCTATATCATCTACTGTAGACCAGGGGTGCCCAACCAGTCAATCGCGGTCTACCAGTCGATCGTGGGCGGAGTTTTAGTCGATCGCGAAAGTTTTACAATGTAGACCTATTTATGGCGATGACAAAAAAAAGTTTTAAAAAACACTAATCAAAACATTGATCACGAGAGACCAATGTGTATTTTCATAATAATAAAATGAAAAATAAAAAGTATGCAGGGAACCTTTTTTTATGCATGCTGATTGCTGGGCATGGTTTGCCACAGTTGCTAGGTTGTTACCAGGGACTCTAAAGTGCGAAGAGGAATCTGAAGAGATAATGAGATAATGACATCTATCACAACTGATGGGGCTCCATCTATGGTTGGGCGCACTGCTGGATTCGTTGCTCTGTTCAAGCTGTCTGAAACTTTCCCGGATTTTTGGAGCTACCGCTGCATCATTCATTAACAACAGCTGTGCGGCAATATTTTAAATATGAAGCATGTCATGTACGTTGCGATGAAGATCGCTTGCTCTGTTCGAGCCAGGAGTTTTCAGAGGCGTTTATTCCGTGCCCAGCTCCAGAAGGCAGGTGCAGACCACACTGATCTGCTGCTGCACACCGACGTCAGGTGGCTGAGTCGTGGCAGATTCCTCAAAAGATTGTTGGAACTTTTGCACGAAATTAAAAGAGTTTCTGAAACAGTCAACAACCCATTCTGCTGTATGTTGCATCTTCACATCCACATAGTTTGTACATAGTATATTCCTATTTTTATTTGTTTTCCATCAGCCAGTTTCTCTGCCAATGCCCAGAGAAGTTTATCATTCTGAAATAGTGGACTTCCCTTCTCCTTCTTCCTGCTTTGAAGTGATCTTAGTCTTAGACAGATTTTATTTGGTTTATTTGGTATTTTGTTTACACAAGTGTAAAATAAAAAGACATTTATTTTGGAACAGCTCACTGAACAATTTCATCTTTTTTTCAAGTGCAGCCTTGAAAAGTAGTAAAAAAATTATATATATATATATATATATATATATATATATATAAACAGTGATATAAACATATGAACATAAACATAAATTTACAGTTGTAACGTTTTTTTCTTTTTCCATCTCTACTGAACTGTGTGTGTGTGTATCAATTGGTTTATTTAGATTTTCTGACTGCACAGCCTTTGTCTGGATATCTTGACTGCTCTTTTCTGTAGTTTTGGTGTGTCTGATGAGTGAGTGAGAGTGAGAGAGAGATATGGTGTGAAGTTCTTATGAGATTGTTAAGTTCTGTTTTTGCAACCTATTTTTTTGACACAATTGATAATTTACTGTTTATTCTCCACCTGTGCAAATAAAAAAAACAAATACTGCCCATCCCTTGTGTTTGGCTTGGTAGATCTCGGCATGCCATCAACTTCAAAAGTAGATCTTGGTTTAAAAAGTTGGGCACCCCTGATCTAGACCTATTATTGTAGACCTGTTTTCAAGAGAAGCAAATGGCAGTGACGACTGTAAACACATGCGATATATCCATATTTTAGCCACAGCTCTAGAGTATACTTCAGCTGCTTACGGTCTTCTTCTTTGTCGTCTTTTTTCGTCGAGGCAGTACATTTTCTTTTTCAATTGGAGTGTTTCCATTTAGAGACTTTACTTTCACAATTATAATTTCTGCAGTGTGATGGTAAATGGAAACGCAGCAACTGCCTTCACAGGTCTGCCTAGAAAAATCGATGATACCACCGCAGCTGATCCAGAACGCTGCTGGCCGTGTTCTCACTAAAACTAAGAAAGTGGAGCACATCACCCGAGTTCTTCCACATATGTTCAAGAATAGACTAACAGAATAAATACTTCTGTTAGTCTATAAATTGCTGAATGATTTAGCACCAAAATACATTATAGACAACAATCCAGACCTCTCGGTTCTTCTGCCTCAAATCAACCCTGCATACCCACAACCAAACATGGAGAAGCAACATTTAGTTGCTAACTATGCTCCACTAATTTGGAATAAAATCCCAGAAAACTGTAAAAGTGCTGATATCCTAAACTGCTTTAAATCAAGATTTAAAAACCTTTCTGTTTAGAGAGTTTTGACGGTGTTATCTAAACATTATAAGTTTTCATTTTATTCATGTCATTTTATTATTATTTTTTATAATCATTTTTTCACTTATTTGTATCTATTAATTATTTCATCACCTTAATGCCACTGTAATATTTTCTCTATTGTTTCGTTTTTCATGTACAGGACTTCTTGCTACTGAAATGTGCTTTATAAATGTCTCTTCCCGTCTTGCCAAAAGCATCTCTTTTCTCTAATAAGACGTATTACTTCAAAGAATATTAGAAGTATGGACTTTTTTCCTAACAAATTAATTTCAAAGTACATTTTTTAATTCACTGAGCTATCAAAGGAAAACTAGCAGAAATAATTAAACATGCATAGTTATCTGTGCTTTCTAGTTAAGATGTAATGCAGGGAATACATTTGCAGAATTTAGTGCACACCAACAGCTGAATGCCATCTGTGCTATTAACCAATTCAGTGCCTTGCAATTCGAGATTATGTTTTTTATGGGCTGTTAGGATGCTGAGGATGTCAAACTGATAACAAGAAAGATGACGCAGCCACTGTGTACAAAAAGGGATCGGACTTTAAGTATTGCAGACGGAGTGAGATCAAACAGAGCGAGTTCTGACTGAAATCCAGAGGCTGCACAGCAGGAGGTGAAGAAACTTCATGGCATAGCAGAAAAGGATACAAATGCCCCAGAGATGAAGAGAGCTCTGAAGGCATGGTGACGAAATGTAAACCATATATATCCCATGTAGCCGAAGATGAAAATCTCCCCAAGGAAGTTGAGGACTTCAAAGAGCTGCAAATTATAAAAAAGGATTAAAAGAATCTTTAGAGAGAGGGTCAGAAAAGAGGAGAGGGCATAATTCTGACAGTGAGTGTCGCTGTTTGCTGGAAAAGAATATATATATATATAAATATATCATTGTTTTAAAATTTCCTGGATGCAGAGTTTATTGTCGCTATAATGCACAGTGCATCATTCAGCGGTCTTCTGCAGCTACTGTAAATGTATTAAAGTCAGCCAACATCTTTGTATCAAACAAAGTTGCTGTATAAAGCCCTCCTAAAGTAGTTTCTTTGAACAGTCTTTGCTTCAGTGTTCATTAAGATCAAATATTCAGACACCAAAAGATTTTAGTCAGAATTTTGGTATCAGTGGTTTTCAAGTTGCAGCTTTCCTCCACAGTATGCAAGTCAGTGTGCATCATGCAGTATTCGGGCAAACGGTTGTGAAAAGGAGTGAAGAACTCCTTACAGAATTAGTTTAAATTTGAACAAACAGCACAAATCCACATTTGACGTTATTCCCTTTGAGGAAGCAGCTGCAGAAATCTGCTGCCTGAGGGCACAATGCTTTTTGCATTTTACAGCTGAGTTGTTTAGTCTTTCTTTGTTCTTGGTCAATACCCACACAGTTTGACTTGTAATATGTGGGTCATCCGAAGAAGCAAAAAAATAAAATAAAAAATGGAGCAGATTAGACTAAAGAAACAAGACACATTTCTGGTTGTGCTTCTACACTTCATCTTGTCTTTCATTTACTTCTGTTAAAAACAAATCCAATTTTGAAACTTTCCCTTATGAAACTATTTGTTTCATTAGAGCTGATATCTGGAGTTTCTTACCTAAGAAAACCTTTTTTTTCTTTTTAAATAAAGCCAGTTTTAGTTTAAATCTTTCAGAAATATCTTTCCATCTATATCTACATTATATGCTGCAGGGAAAAGATATGTCTGACTAGCTATTCAAATAGTCTCTTTGTACCATTTTGTTTCAGTTGGAGCCGCATATGTAAAACATGAAATAACAGATACTGGCATTCTGCCAAGTAAACACACTGTTCTGTACAAATGCGAAGCCAATCTACTATGTAGTGAGGTCTTCAAGTGTGTTACCTTTTAGAAAGCTCTTATATAACAAACAGTCCGACCTTGGTACTGATAATGTATAATAAATGCATGGATGAGACAATGAGTACACTTTTGATTTATTTGTTCCACTGTGCAGCTAAGTATATCAGGAGCACAGGCCCTCCATCTGTGCTGAGCTTTTTGAGCAGATAAGGTGGAGGGGTTGTCTCCCACACAGACATCCACGGGTTGACCAGAACACTAATGGCAACAGATAAATGGTTTAATGTCCATAGAGAATAAAGAGAGGACATAAAAGGGCATCTGAATAAGGAACTAAAAAAAAAAGTTGCTTAAAACTATAATTAAGATTTGCTGGAGTTATCAAATCCAAATCTACCTGTTTAGTTCTCGTCCTTCCCTCGTGTGACAAATTTAGAGTTGTGTACTTTGCTTGACTCAGGCCACAAAATAAAACTGCAACAATGCCTGTAACACACAAAAAAAGAAAATGGTACACATTAAGTTTGAAAGCTGAATCGAACTCCTGAGATTTTTTGAGAAAACAGGTGTCAGAGAGCCTCAAGACAGTTTATTTTGTGTTTTATTTTGCACTAGGTTACACATTTGCACAGCATTCTGTGGTTTGACGAAAGTTGCAATAAGAATCAGATGGTTTTCTTGCTAAATTTATAGAATAGGAAAAGTTTTCATTTTAAGCCATTAAATAGAGCCAGTTACAGCTCTGGCATCTCTTATCGGCACAAAAGAAATGAGCAGAAGGCTGCATGACAAATAAAAGACAAAAGACAGACATGATTAATATCCTCACAAGATGTCAGGTTGTAAAAACACGGCGACTTCTATTAATGTCATGCTGTATTAATGTACTAAAGATTAGCTGAGAGTCCTAACTTCACCTAAAATATATACATATATATATATATATATATATATATATATATATATATATATATATATATATATATATATATATATATATATATTAGGGATGCACAATATAATCGGCCCCCTATCGGTATCGGCCTGTATCGGCCTAAAACTGAATATTGGACATCGGCCACCCCACCGATATTTAACCAGATATTTGATCAGATTCTGAGTTTCTGAAGTCTAAAAAAAAAAAAAAAAAAAAAAAAAATACCACTTCTTCTTCCTCAAAAACTTCTTTACAGACTAAAAAACTTCTAAAGACGAGGGAAAAAATATTGATGCATTAAAATATCACAATATCTTCATATGCTGATATATTGCCATTTAAAAACACAATATCAATCTCTTTTACTAGTGAAATATTGCTATATGTCATCGTTATGCTACGAAATCCCCCGAAAATTCACGACATTTTGCCATATTTTTATATGTTGATATATTGACGCGGTATCAATCTATTTTACTAACAAAATCTCACAGGAATTAGCAAAATATCACGAGAGTTTGTAACAGAACGATGAAATTTCATGAGATTCTGAAAGTAAAATAGATCGATACTGCGTTTTTAAAAATCTATTTGAAATCAGCATATGAAAATATATTTGAGTATATTATTTTTGAAAGGTTCAGAAATGGATAACAAAACTGCTATTTTCAATGACTACTTATTTTTGTCCAGCTTTAACATCAGTATCGATATCGGTTATCGGCCACATGAGTTTTAAAATATAGGCATATCGGATGTCAGCCAAAATTAACGGTCTATACTCCTTTGTTTTTGCCAATAAAAACTGGAAAGGTATGCAAATCTTATATATATATATTAGTTTCAACCATCTTTGCATCAACTTTTAAAATCCTCCTGTCTCTGCTGAAGAGCATTCATTCCCCCAGCATAATGCTATCAGCCACATTTTTTTTACTGTAGGGATCTTTGGTGTTATGGAGTCATACATTTTGTAAAAAAAAAAACAAACAAAACAAAAAAACAAACAAAGTTGGTTTGTCAGGTGGGCAGTAGACTGTTTAAGTTCCTCCCTGGTTCATATAAGGCTATTTAATTGGTCTCTAACTAAAACACTCCCGAAATGTCAATTTATTTATAAGGTAGCTTTTTGGAAAGTTTGCAGTTCTACCATAGTCTCTCAACTTAAAAAAATGGACTGAACATTGCTCTCTGTGTTACTCTTTGATGATCTCCTTACATAAACTTGGTTTGAAAGAACAGGACAGGTCTGAACTGTAACAAAATCAGGTGAAACCTTTCCTCCATCTGGGACTTACTCAGCTCAATGGCCTGGAAAAGTTGCTCCTAATACAGTAATTTTCAACCAGTGTGCCGTAAGAGATCGTCAGATGTGCCGTGGGAAATAATCTAATATCACCTAATTAACCATTGTCGTGTGTCTGTGCTGAATACTATTAATTTTTAAATCAGTACAATCAGAGTGAAATCTGGAGTTCATTTGTGCAGACCAATGTTAATAGTCTTTCTCCTCTGGTCTTGTATCTCTTTAAATCTCAGCCGAAGTGGAGTATTTTGACATCTTTCAGCCCACTTTAAAGGAATAGTACACCCAAAACATGATTAGCCTTCATTTTCTACTCACCCCCATGCTGAACAAAACTCTGGAGTACTTTTTTGATATCTCAAATGCATCTGGAGATCTGGGAGGCTTCTTGCTGTCTGCTGACATTCAAATAATGGAGGTCTATGGCGCCCGAGACAGAAAGGTCCATAAAAGTCCACAAAAACGTGTCAATATTCCTCCATACTGCTCGTCCAATGTAATCCAAGTGTCCTGAGTGGGTAGCATCCAGAATTTACTCGAAACGAAGTCATTTAGAACGTTTTAGAGCCTAAACAGTAGTGTATAGGATTTCCTAATAGCGCCCCCATGCGCGCTCACGATTCTACGGAAGCCGGCAGACCAAACCGGAAGGAAGTGCGCATTCAGCGTCTGCTCTGCCGATAATGCAAGCGTAGAAGAAGAAATGTGCTGTTTACCTGTGCAAAGAAAGAAACAACGAAAGAAAAATGTCTGAGGACTTCAGTGTTGAGGAAGAGCATGAGTTCTTTGCCGAGCTGAATGCGCTGGTTTGGTCTGCCGGCTTCCGTAGCGTCGTGATCGCGCATGTGCGCGCTTTCAGGAAATCCTATACACTACTGTTTATGCCCTAAAAACATTCTAAATGACTTCGTTTCGAGTAAATTATGGACGCTACCCACTCAGGACACTTGGAATACATTGGACGAGCAGTATGGTGGAATATTGACACGTTTTTATGGACTTTTATGGACCTTTCTGTCTCGGGCGCCATAGACCTCCATTATTTGAATGTCAGCAGACAGCAAGAAGCCTCCCAGATCTCCAGATGCATTTGAGATATCAAAAAAGTACTCCAGAGTTTTGTTCAGCATGGGGGTGAGTAGAAAATGAAGGCTAATCATGTTTTGGGTGTACTATTCCTTTAAGGTGTTAAACAGGTTCTATTTAGGTCCTTCCTTCTTTCTACAAGTTGGGTTTGAAAAGTAAAATATCTCTTTCCATTTCCACAGTGGGGAATACTTTCCTTTGCATTTAACCCTTCCCTTAGGGAGCAGTGGGCTGCCTCATTGTGACCATTACGTGGTTTAGGGTCTTGCTTGGTGACCTAGAGTGACATACTAATTTTTTGAGCGAGTAGTCAGTCAAGCTATTCAGGATGCAGACATCCTTAACTAATCATTGCCTAGCTAAAGTAGTATCTACAAATGGGTGTAAATTATAAAATTAAGTCCCAGGTAAGATATGGTATAAAGTGAAATAGTATCTGGAGTATTTTCAGAGCTTTTTTATGTTTTGAACTCTGAATTCTTTACTTAATCAGCGTGGCATGGTTAATTTACAGTACTTACTCTGTACTGAATGGTTAATAAAGTATTATTAACCATACAGTATGTAATATCAGTTTTTTTTCAATGCTCAGTTTTATTCTAAATATAAAACATAAAATCATTATGAGAGCCACGGGCTTGGCCTTCATGTTCCTGTGGTGAGTGTAAACACAGTGAGCAGCATGAAGGATGGTCCACTTTTTTAAACAAGACCAAGTAGATAAAGGTCAAGCTTATTCATTAAAAAAACATATTCTCTCCCTCTACAGACCACAGGGACTAATGCCAAGCAAGAGTGAGCTTGTCAGGTGATTGAGTGGAATTCCTGTTATAAAGCCAAAGCAGGAGGAACAACAACACCACAGCTGAACGTGAACAGGGATCACAGTGAGCAGCGCAGAGGAAGATGACATCAAGGAGCAAGGGTGAGACCTATTCTTCCACATTCAACCTACAAAATATTTCAAAGCACCATTTTAAATGAAAGAATTAATGAGTGTTGAAACACGATACCTTAAAAGAAGAATATGATACATTTTACACCTATTTTGTTAGCAAAATGCTCTATTCAAAATTCTTAAAATTACATTTTAAGTTCATCTGGTTCAAATTCTGTAAAATATCCTCTATAAAGCACATTTCTTTGGTTTTTGGTAAATTAAAAACTATTGAAAGATTAATCTGATAATAAAATGTTTTGTTTAAGTAATATAATCTCTTGTTTTTTTTTAGGAGTGCACTAGTGAACAATCAGTGTCCTGAGGAACACAGAAAACAGTAGATTGCTCCGGAGAAAAGGTTAAATGATGAATGAGGTTATAAAGCAACACATTAACTTTAAACAGTGCACAGAGTAATGTTCAGTCAACTATCTTAAAACATAAATCGTATGGGACATCCAAGATATGCATCAAACCAACGAAAATCTGTTTTATGTAAGTATTAGGGATTCATTCAGCATAACCCTATGAGTGTGGTAAGATAAAAAAAAAAAAAACTTTGGCGAAAGAAAGACATAAGCAACCATTCAGCAGAAGATGCTCTGGACACAATAAACCCAAATTAAACAGCATGTAAAATGCTGTTTAATATGGTGGTAGCATTGTGTTGGAGGCATGTTTTCATAAAAAAAAAAAAAAAAAAAAAAAAAAACAATAAAAAAAAAACAAGCTGAATTCAGCTAAATCTGATGAGAAAATCTGTTGGAGGCTCTATTATCATTATAAATCTGGTGGAGAGATACCTTCCAGCCAGGCAACAGTCCTGATCATACAACCAGAGCATCAATGTTTGGATCAACACATCTCTATAACTTAGATTGATCCAGAAACTTAACCGAAAATCACACATATGATGACATTTGAATTTACTAATTACAGATGATGTAGTCTCAAATAATGAAAACTGGCCATAAATTCAGGTTTTATCGATATGCAAAACTGGTAGAGACACATCCCCAGAAGACATGAAGCTGCTGCTATAGAATGACCGGGCTCTGCTGAGCTTCAACTTAGAAAGCCTGGATGCTTAGCAGAAAGCTAAGTATTTGAAAAAAAATGGGTAATTTTTTAATGGGTTCAAACACTTTTCTTCTGGCCTTTGTATTTAAAAGGAGGACTGAATCTGTTTGCAATGTCTAAATCTTGGTCTAGTATCAGCTGTCAGATTTCCCCTGATGCAGCAGCAGAACATGCCAACCAAACAGCTGCCTGTGTGGCTGATACAGAGGGGTGGTATGCAAGTCACTGAGTGCAGCTTAGAAGTGATGCCAGTAGGGAGCTGAGTTAGGGGGGTGAAGACAAATACTCACCAAGAGCAATCATATTCAGGTCCAGCAGTCACACAGTTCTGATATTAATACACAGACACACAATTTAAAGAAGTGTTCGATGTGTTCACCTGAAAGTCCGCAGGCTTCTGCAGAGAGGAAACTGCTCCAGGACAGCAGGAACAAGACTGATGTTTCCAGCAGAGGATTTTCATGCAGTCGTGTAAATTTGGTGAGGTGGACAGAGAGTTAAAGATTTACAATAATATAAATTTACTTTTTTATTTTACATCTTTTCCAATAAACTAAGGTTGGTGGTGAATTTGTTGTAAAAAAAAAAAAACATATTTGATTCCAGTGCAGCAGACTGGAGGCTGAGAAACACTGCAGTGCTGTACCTACAAATAACAAGCTGATGCAGTAGGTGCTCAGTAAGTCTGGAAACCTGCCATATACAATAACCACTGTGCCTGAGTGTTAGTTCTGTTTTTACCTCTCTACATCATTTTCCCACATATCCTCCAGCTAAGCTTCCTGGATTACTCTACTTGTTTGTTGCTGTTTTTTACAAAAAAGGGAAAAGATTAGTAAGTTTGGGTCTTACATAGTTCTCTATTTATATTTGTGCAGTGAGGGGCATAACAAAATCCAGACTGACTCTTTATAAGGCAGCCTGAAAAAGACTAAAAATACTTGCTGATAGCTAGCACAGTCTTTTAAGCCAATAAGTGGCTTGTGTTCTTTCATTATCTTAAAGTTATTACAAGATATGTTTTGTGTTAAGTAGAGTAAAACACTTTTTAAGCATCTATAGCCTTAAATGAAACATAATAGAGCGCTTTGGATGCTGATATCAGATCACTTTTAATACTTAAAAAAAGAAAAATTTGGTTCGATGAGGTAAGATTAATTGGTGCCTGCCATAGCAATGCAAGAAGCATATAATGGTATTCTATGCCCTATGCATTGCATGGACTAACCCATTATTTGATATACCATATCCCTCTTACAAAATAATGAAATTCAGAATTTTCCCTGCAAACAGATCCCCCATCTCCTCATTTACAGAACGTCAATCTGTCCTACAATGCCAAAAAACACTAAATCGTGATTTCAACTGCCTAGACTAGTCTTCATATTGTCTTGTTACTATAAACATTATTAATCCTTCCTAATGAGTTGTGCCTTTCCATCCTCCAGCTCCTCCTCTTTCTAAATCCTTTTTCAACATCAGATTTAAATGTGATATAAGAAATAAAACAGCTTTCTAAGTCCAAAGCAGAGAAAGATCGGTGCTTTCTAAGAACAGCCATAGAGAAGGTAGTGAGCTAAAAATAATGAGGTCTTTGAGTGTATGTGCAGCAATTAATACGCTAATGAGAAAAAAAGGATTGCTATAAAAATGTAATCCAATCTTGCAAAGATAATCTTATGTTTGTTTTTTAAATGCAACCCAGGCTGTTTAGATCTCTGTTATTAAGGCTGTATACACTAAGATGCTGACCACTTATTTCCCTCATGATGCATCCTAGCAATAAAAACAAAACATGGGCATGCTAATGACTTGATGTTTGCCATAAGCAGTCTTTAAGGACTCTCTCTTTGAACACAAAGATAACAGTGTGCTGCTGTGGATGTCAGCGAAATTTAAATAAAAAGCTCAATTTGTGGATTGCCTTTCCACAAAGATCTGTCCCTGTGCATAAGAGCTGAACACCCCACTCCACACCTCCCCAGTTTTCACTTTAAAGTCTAATTAGCTAAAGATCAGAGAAAGACAAGCTGAGCACAATTGCACCAGGCGAAATGCGCACACAGGCATCTGATGTGATTGACAACATCTCCGAGCACATCAAACCTGCTGCAGCACTTTAGACCCCATCCCTCTGCTTGTGATGAAGGGGTGCAGCATGGGTTTGTTGGGGGGGGGCAGTTACAGAACATACGGAAGTAGATTTACTGCAGCGGATGCTGAGGTGATAATTGAGACCGGGGTGGAGGGATGAGAAGGGGATGAAAAGGATATGAGGGCTGTTATTACTGTGAATATGAATCCAAGGAGGAAGGAGCCAATGAGCACTCCAAGGAAAAAACCCACAGAGCGGAGGAAAGCAGGTGGGTCAAAGATGTTTCCTCTTCCCAGCTGGTCATAGGAGGAGATGGCGCTAGAAGAGAGAGACACAAGAAAGCTATTAAGGATCGAAAATAAGCTAAAAGAAGTACTATATGACAAATAAAGTGAAATAAACCTCAAACTCCAGTGCATTTTACTGGGATTTGATGTGTTAGGACAAGACAAATTCGTACATAATTGTTAAATAAAAGGAAAGGGCTAAAAGATTTCTACCAATGAAACTATTTGAAAATATGCAGTGAATTCATATTCATCCTCTTTACTGTGACATCCCTAAATAAAAGAGTCCTACAACCTGCCTTGAGAAGTCACTAAGCAGTGACGGCTGGCAAGTAGAGGGCGCTAGGCCACCACCCCACACACCCATGACCTTGATGAAGACATAAAAAAACAAATTAAAATTAAATTATAAAATTTAAATATTGGAAAATATATTGATATATATTTTTTAGATGTGCAAGATGAATGTTTTATCTTTCATGAAGAGTACAGCTGTTTTGTTTTTATCGCCTTGGTAACGTAATTTGCACTAGCACACAAAAATATTTGCATATTGACTTAAAAGTTGTACATAAGCAGTAGCGCCTCATAAGCAGTAGCGCCTCTATAATAAAGATGTATAGGACAGTGACAGGAACTGTCGTCACAGTTGTAGTGCGGAAAGGAAGCAAAATTACAAAGAGAAGCTGGAGGTGAAATCGTTTGGACCTGATCAGCCGGACATTAAAATGAATCAGCGGTCCAAAGACAGATGGAGACTGTACACTCTGTCTTTTTCATGGACCTGGTTTAGCTACAAGGCTAGGCTAACTGCATGCAGCGAGGCTAATGCTTTATTCTGCTGCCTTGACTGCCTGCATCCTTTTTCAAAGGTCAGGCTCTAACCCAGCATGGATAAAGACAGATGGCACTTTTAGAAAAGGCAAAGAAGAATAAACAATCCGGGATTATAATATATTGCACTTTTTTTAGGTGTTTGTTAATTTGCTTAGTTGCTCTTAAATAAACACATTCTCTGAAAAGAAATTGTTTTTATATATCAATAAAATATAAAGCTGACTAATAGCTTCTCAATTATTAACCCTGGTGCATTATTTTCTTTGCTTTATGACACAATATTGGAGCATGCATTTATTATTATGTTATTTTTTTTTTTTATAAAGTGTTTTTATGTATTTTGTTGTTGGCATTCATATAACTACACTAGTGTGATAACTTAGTATACGTTTGATTGGTTTTTGGTTTGCGTCTATTTCGAATATAGAGTCCCCCCTGGAGAAAAATTCACCAGCCGCCACTGCTAATCAGTAAATCAAGTCCATCTAGATGTAGCCCCTTTTTCCGACTGCATTTGTTGGAAAGGTTCTCTTTTTAGGAGAAATGGGAGTGGCGGTCTTGTGTTTAGGGCATAGGGCTATGAATCCTGAGGTTGTGAGTTCGATCCCCAACTCCCACAGACTGTCACTCTGGCTCCCTGAGCAAGATAATTTTGCAAAGGTTGTGGGCATGCGGGCTATTGGTAAAACTTGTATAAATGAAGATGTGTGTACCAACGTATAAATGTGCATATGCATGTTTATATATGCATAATTTATTTACTTACTTAATGTAGTAGAATGGACTGATTAGCAAAAAAAGGATATTCGGAAGATTATTGGTCTTAATGACTATCGTAAGGAAAAGGAGCATGATTAAATACGTTTCCCTTTTTCATACCCCTATTTATACATTAACACTAAATCATACATATAATGTAATAATACATGTACCATTAATTATACATGCTCACATGAGTTACATTTGTAATTTTACTGGTTTGTCTAAAATAGATGTATTTATTAATTCATTCATTGATTATGCAAGACGTTGGTTTGGCAAATGATGGACGATAAATGGGATTGCATGGAAAGATGTGAGATTTCTAATGGGTGTGTGTTGCATTCCGTCATGTTCACACTGCACACACTATACAGTTCCTGATGCAAGACAACAGATTATTGCAGCTCAAGACTGGAGTACACAAGCTCCCATATTTGAAAAAGAAATAAAACGGCATTTCTGCATTGCCAAGTAATTACAAACTAAGTCCACATTCGAAAGTCTTCCTAAAAATATGAGCATGATGCAAATAGAGCTAAAGGAGAATAACAATGGCCGTGGAAAGACCACCTGTGAATACCCAGATGAAGCCTAAAGAATTACAGTAAATTGCACACTGAAAGCATATCCAAACACTGTGGGTCCCCAAAGCTTTCCCCCTTTATCCCTAAGGCAGCGCACCGACCACCCTCACAGAGAAGCCATCTAGTTCATTCCAGATATTTTCAATACCTCACCGTTGCACCTTAGAGAAGAAGAATATAGACCAGAGAAAAAAATGTGCAAGTGTTTAAAAACTGTGTTGTTCATGGAAAACTGACCAATAGTTTATTGGTACAAAGCACTCTGCAGCAGAGAGCATACATTCCCAGTGTAAATATGCTGAGCTAATTCTAATTTCCTGGAGTCACTCCTAAGAACACATGGGCTTTCCAAGAAAGTATAAACTGCTCCAGAAATATAATGCATTCCAAAATATTTGCCTCACAAACATTTCCGAGCAGAGCAGAGAAAAAGGAGGAAGACACAAGTGCTGTTCATAAAAACAACAGCATAATGTTATGTGAGCTGCTATCATGTTTGCTCTGTGGTGGGGAAGAGGGACTTCGACCTGCCACGTACTGAGAGTAAAATAACCCCTTATTAGGAGGATGAAGAAAACAGAAATTTTCTGATTGACTGTTTATGCATGTGATGGACTGGCGACCGGTGTACCCCGCCTCTTGCCTGTAGACAGCTGGAGATAGGCACCAGCTCCCCTCGCGACCCCGCTTGGGATAAGCGTGACAGAAAATGAATGGATGGATGGATTTTTATGTGTGAGAAAAGAAGGTACTAATAAAAAAAGGCAATATATTTCATTTTCAGCAAAGGTTATGGGTGTACTGCTTTTCTGCAGTAAAAAACTAAATTGGGACCATAAAATGCTTCCAATGCCCAGATTATATTTGAATAATCTGATACAAAATGTGAAAAGATACCAAAAGGAAAGATGAAATGGAATAAATCTGCACATTCAACATCTACCCTGGTTTTTTCATAAACAGCTTCCAAATTATTTAAGAGATCTACAGTAATTTATAGAGAGAAAAGTTTACAAGCATATTTTCCAAATGACTTTCTAAGCCACTGAAAGCCAAGTCCAAATGTGAAACAAATATTTCCCCATTAAATCAAGACAAATGTCACATATGACCCTGTGTCGTTTTAGGTTAGGAATCAAAACCTGTCCTATCTGGACATGGGCATAAGGCTAATCCTTCTGAAATGTATACATTTTCAAAACCAGTTTTTTTTTTTTCTCTTAACATTTAAATCCACAGTTGAGAAAGGGCTGTTTTGTATTTACCACTTTATAAAGACAAAAGCACTGCAATGGAAAGAAATCAAGAGCTGCTATTTAATTTCTGACCAAATCAAACAAAGTTTTCATTGTCTATGTAATGACTTGGTTAGGACCTGTTTGTCCCCCTCTTCATACTCCCCTATGCTATACAGTACATTAAATATGGTTTGGAGGGTTTTCCGAGCCTGTGAATTTTTAACAAAAGTAAGAATTAATTTTCTAAATCAATATTTATAACTTACTAAGTATTTTAAGTAGTAAAAAAATTTTAAAAGAAGAATAAAAATGACAATGTAAATAATGAGGCAAAACATAGTGATAAAAGGATTGTTGAACATTGGAGGTAGTTTGGTTTTGCATTGACACAGCTGGCTTAACAGTAAGGGAATATTTGAGGAAAGTTACATTTAATTTAATCATAAATTATTCAGTCATCTAACAGAGCATTCAGATGGAGAGATATGCTCCTTAATGTGAAGCTACATCTAATATTCGATGCAATGGTTATCAGCCAGTGAAAGTCTATAATCCATCAACAGCAGTTGCAGTCTGAAGCTCATGAGTTGTTTTTTTTTTTTTTTTTTAAGTAGAAACTGCTACTACCTGAGTTTTAGACCAGGAGTCCGAGACCAGTCAATAGGACACCAGTCTCAAGTCAAGCCTTAAGTCTTGAGTTGCAGTTTATTTAGAACCAGCGAATGTAACTGAATTTAAATTTCTCTCTATAAACCAGTGATTTCATCATATATTTCTCTTCAAATCTCACTGCCAACAGCCTTATTTTGTGAAAGAAACCCACTTATAAACATTTTACTTTTGATTTTTGATTTTTTTTTTAACAGTGTCCTGTCTGGCTATGTGGCAATAAGAATAATTGTCTCAATGCTAAAAAGAGCCCAACAGATTTTACTTTCACAAGAGGAGCAGTAGGGCTATCGCCATACTGTTCCGCTTGTTAAATGCATATAAATTGCTCTATTATAATTATGCAGGGAGTTTTACAGATTATATGGACACTGCAATGTAGGTAGAACAGGAAAGGAAAAACAGAAAAAAGGAGAAAAGATTAAAGAAGAGGAGATAAAAGGGAGACAATGATAAAACATTTTCAGTCTGCTTCATCACCTACAAAGAGACGTAAAAAGAACAGCACAACCAACGGACATGGTACGAGACATACAATAAAGTAACGCCTAGATACTATCGCTGAAATATAAGTAGTATTATATAATCTGACATGTATTCTGTGTTACCTACATTTTACTATTGATAAGATGTATGAAACTAAGTCAGGGTGTTTATTATGTTGTGTCGTGATATTTCCGTCACTAAGGTTACAAGAAGGCGAGAGTGAGCAAAGACTTTTAGCTGATGAACTAGACTATACAGAAGTAGAACAATGCTACCCTGTTAACCTCTATCACCTGATATACATGAGTTTTTTGAATGGAGGTAGGACCCTACATTTTCAAAGAACACACACAGAGAAGATAGTTTTAGTAATATTTATGTACTCCATTGTCATTTTCCAGTTGTTTTAATAGTAAAATCCTATTTTAAAGTGACTGTACCCCATCAACTCAGTTTAGGTAGAGTTATTTACTCTGTGACTGTTTAAAATAGAGCAGCATCACCTCTTCTGAGGTCTTCGGGATTGATCATGAGTTCTTGCTCTAAAGGTAACTAGAAATATGACCAAGCTGTTCTTACTCATTCTTGTATTCTACTTTTAAAAGAAAAATCTGAATAATTTCCCCCCAATATTTCCTTAAAACCAATGCACTGTTCTCATATACTTTTACGTAAGTGCAGACACAATGTAATTCAAATTTTTTTTTAGATAAATTGAATCAAAAGATGAAAATCAAAACAAAACAACACAAATCACGTTTTTGTTGCTTTTTGCAACAAAAAATCATCAAAGGCCTTCAAATGTTGCAGCTTGGTTTTTGGAGGATCAAAAATGTACCGTGCAATGTTGGCTTTATATTGAGATGAACCAGTGGATCATATCTCCATGGAAGGAGGGGAAGAATCAATCAAGCTGTTACTAATGAGCTCGGCAAATGAAAAGAGAAAATCTATTACCTCCTCTTTGGAAATAAAGACTCAGATTCTGTTAGCACTCTCAATTTCACTGCAAGTCAATCTCAATAGTGTGTCTTACTAAATTGTTTCTTAATAAGTTTGGTGCTGCTCACTTTCAAATGCAACTTTTAGATTTTAAAGCCCTGTTTGAGAGACAGAATGAGTCTGGGGGTTTTCACGCCTGAGAGAGGGAAAATCAGTTTGTTAGCATTCAAGTACCAGGAATCAACGCGACCTCGTAATAAGACCCAGCTTTGTGCATGGTGGCCTCTGTGAACCAGTCAAATGACGGACGGCGGCATGAGGGCCTGTCACGCCATTTTAGCAATAAGCAGGGCACTATGTGGCTATTTGTCTGGTAAAACGCTCGGGCTCCCTGCTTTACTACCACTGCATAACTTATAAGCTGTATGAATGCATCAGGCTAAATTGATTGCTTTAAGCTTTCACTTTTCCATGTGTGAATTATGAACTCTCTGTCTCAAATTCGCCATCTGTTTGCTAGTCTTCTTGACTGGCCTTATTCAAATAGAGCAGACAATCGGTGCCAAGTATGTGACTGCATATTTGAGAGCAGTGCAAGGGAAAGATGGGACAGCAAACAGAAAGAATGAAGGGATTGTACAGCTTGGACAAGAGACAAGTTTATAATGGCTAATCCATTGAGCTTCCACTGATTTCTTGCCTGAATTTGACAGCACATACAGTTTATAAGCCTGGTTTGTTATCCTGGGGGTGCATAGGAAAAGGAACTCCAGCAGTCGACTTCCTTAATGAGAGTCTGAAACGGCTACACACTACTTGCTTATGCAGTCCAGTATAACATCATGGCAGTCATGCAGCTTTGCCCAATCACACCTTTTCTTTACAGCTTGCAGCTTCCATTCAGTCTTCCTCCACCCCCACGCATCCTCCTCCACGCTGCCAGCTGGAGAATTGCTGGCGCCCACACAATTAAACCAGAAAATCTACTGATTCTGAGGGCACATACAAGCAAGATGAGATACCCACTGTGTCAAAACGATGGCTACGGCGTCATTAAGGACACTCTCTCCAAACAGCAGGGCATGCAGATCAGAATCCACGCCCAGGTCCGACAGCAGGCCAAGAACTGAGACTTAAAAACAAAAAACAAAACTGTTTTAAAGGAGTGCAGGATATTAAAACAATACAGACATAATATTATACTTTATTGACTTTTTAATGCACTTTGATCACCTTAACGGTTCATGTGGACCTACAAAAAAATTATTTGGTGAATGAAAAACTATTGTTAAAGATTAAAAGAGGCTAAAACAATACAGAAATGAACAGATAAAGTAATTAACTGAATTATTTGGCCAAGAAGCAGAGTAATTTGGAAACTGTTACAATAAACAGAGAGCACCAGAGTGTGACAATACAAATATTCATGTTTAAGTATAAAGAAGTTACATTTTTGGATTGATTATTCCCTGTTAATGGATTCTGTATTTTTGTTTGGTAAACAAATATATTTTTGATCTGGTTGACATTTTCTAAAAGTGGCATATCAAAAACTATTCATGATTATGATATAGTGCAGAGGTTCCCAAAATGTTCCTCTTGCCATCAACAAAATAGTACCAGAATGCTGTCATGAACCAAAATACTGATTGTAATATTTCTTAATAATCTTTAAAATTCTTGTAAAATTGTAATAAAAACTGCATCAACAACCTCCGTGTAATGTTGTTTGTATATCCAAGCTGTAAACAGTTTAAAAGGAGCTTATACTTCCTGAGGAGGATGAGGAGAGTCCACCTCCCCCCACCAATCCTCACCACCGTCTACAGAAGCACCATAGAGAGTGTTTGACCAGCTGTTGATGTGGAGGCTGCAGCGCCTCAGACTTGAAGAAGGTGAGGAGAGTAGTGAGAACTGCACAGAGGATCATTTTGGCTCCTCTTCCCTCCATTTAAAACATTTCATCCCAACGCTGCATGTCCACAGCCCGCAACATTATAAATGACCCCTCACACCCCCACCATGGACTGTTGTCCCTGCTGCCCTCTGGGAAGAGACTTCGATGCATCCGATGCAGGTCCAGTAAATTCGAGCTTCTTCCCCACTGCCATTAGACTGCTGAATGTTGTATAAAATGGGGTTTAAAAAAAAAAGCCTGAATGTTGGAAGTGTAAATCACATCTCAGTTTTATGTTACATTTTATCACTGCTGCAATTTGAAATTTCTTAAGAGCTGTACTGAACAAAATTTCTTTTTGTATACACTCTGTGTGTACAAAATGACAAAAAAGTCTATCTAAGTCTAATACATATAAATATGCTTTACCATAATCATTTTTAGTGTTTCATTGCTGTGGAGTTATTTAGATACAATAAATTAATCCTAATTTGTAACAGCATTTATAAAAGCAACTAAATCCTGAAGTAGAGATTTGAAACTCATGAACTATATTTGCCATTATTTCATAGTCTCATTGACTTGAAACTTCTGATATGTTATTACAATCTTATTTTCATAAAATTTCTTAATGAATAAAATACAAATTTTTCATTGCAGCAGTTGGTTTTATATGAAATAGAGTTTTAGATGTAGGAAGAACCCACTTTTAAGAAGAAGATCAAAAGTTTAATGTTGTTGCATTTAGAAAAAGATTTTCTGGGTTTATTTTTTTAGAATGTGAAGCCAATAACTTTTTTTTTTTTTTTTTTTAAAGACCTTTAAACAGATTGTAGGACTGTTTGTAATAAAGTAGTAAGGTTAATCTGTAGATAACTTAAAAACAATAGTAGAGAAAAAATGTTTTTTTCTTAGGCTGTGTTTTCTTACTTCTAGTGTAAAGGATGTCCAAATGAATAGGAATTTAATTTCAGACAATTTGACAAATAACAACAAATCAACTGTAAAGGCTATTTTTCCACTAACTGGATATAATCAACAATTAGCATGGCAGATGGTGAAATATCATTAGTTTTTATTAGACATTATATGCAGCAAAACTACAAAATCAAATTATGTTCAGTCAATAAACACACCAACCTTCAATGTGATTTTCAATAAATATAAGAGATGAATGACACCTTGCTTGATGCATAAATGCAGATCATTTTTTTATTCTTTCTTTCTTAGTAAAATTTTTTGACTAATACTGTTTTCTAATAACCTTCAGCATATTTTCTGTTTTCTATTAATAATAGTCTTTTAAAAAAGGGAAAAATCTCAGATACAGTCATAATCAGAAATGGGACATAAGGTATCAAAGAAAAAGGAAAAAACAGTACTAGTGGATCGGCTGATCTATTTTTTGGCTTTTTGCTATTAATTTATTGTTCTGCTTAATTTTTTTTTAAATTTAGTCCTGTTATTTAAGGATTTATATGTTTAATATTAATATTAATAGATCATTAATAGTCTTTTTTTTTATTTAACCACTGCTTCTTCTTCTGTTTATACTTTATTTTCTGCTCTGGTTTTAATTTTAGTTCCAGAATCTGGACTCCTCCTGTCAGTAATGAAGTTTCTTGATTTTGTTTATTGATAAAAAAAAATAACTCATATTGTTTTGTACAATTAAATGCAGCTTCTCACTCTGTGGGATTTTTAAAGTAACCCTATAAATAAACATGCTTTTAACATCATAGCTTCTTTCTTGAGTTTCAAATGTGTTCAAATGTCAGAATACATTTATTTAAGTATGCAGGGATTAAATATACTGGTGTCCGAACTCCAACAGCAATATAACTTTTTTTTCTATATCATCTTGTTTATTTTCATTTTACAGTGTTTGTCATTTTTCTCCTTATGTGGGCTGCACGTGTTCTTGTCCTATATTGTTCTGCTTCTAGCTCATTAGGAATATATGTGTCCTTTAGCTTGAAGCATTTCATCAGTTAATTTGGAAGCCATATAACAACTGAGACTCTGGAACAGGAGCTGATTAATACATGCAAAATAAGCCAGTTATAGACAAATGTAAATGTACTTCTGGCAAAGAGCTCCCTGCTTTGATGAGATTATTTGATATTCATAGCTACATGTTTTTCAAATCCACAAAGAGGAGTGTCTTCAATAATGATGCTAGCTACCTGTAATGTTCTAGATGTGAATTGAAATAAAATTTTAACTTAATAGTTACACATTACAGCTGTTTTTAAGTTTGCAGAATCTGTAAAGAAGAAGAGATGAAACAGCAATTATTAAAATATACCTTCAGCCTCCCTGAGTCAAAGCTTTGTAAAACCGACTTACTGCAGCTGCACAGCTTCAGAATTTACACAACTGATACTCAAATGTTGCAGCAATAACCCAATCATTTTTTAATCGATGTCACGCAATATTGTCCCCTTTTTGTTGTGAAAATTAAATCACAGCACTGGCCAGTCAGACTGGCTTACATCATGTGCAGTATCAGCTTATCTGAGAGACACATTTTGCAACAATAAAACATAATTGAACTGCGGCCCCAATCTTGACTCTTATGGTCAGAGATAAGCGCAGTGGCATTAAAGATAATTGTATGTCCACCCCCGTAAGGGCAATTTTGGCCCTATTTGCACTAATTTTTTTTCAATTGTTTGAGAATCTTTTGTTTTGAGCCAAGTTTCAGCTTCACTGTGTGTCCTGTTTCATGTAGTATACAGGGAGTAATAAGGGGCAAATAGCCTCTCACGACTAGGATCGTACAGTCTGATGAACATGCTTGAAAGTCAGTCGGCCCTTGTGAGGTGACTGTGCCCATATCCTACTGTTCAAGCAGAGTTATGAGCTGATTTATCTCAATCTCATTCACTGCGCATGTGCGAAACGGGAATTCTTCTTCTCTGACTTTACTTCTGAACAGATGAGCCTGACCAGGGCAATTTTTCTACAAGGCTGGGTCCAATGTGGGCATTTCCGACATACAGTGTTAGCAATCAGATTGCATTAGAGATTGGGTTGTATGATGAAAGGACATATCGGGAGCAGTGAGCTAATAAAGTGTCTGCTGTTTGACTTACAGTTCGAGCTGTAGCTTAGAAAAACAATTGAAAACATTGTACAATATATGCCTGCCTTAAATCAGTCTGACTGCTCAGGTTACACTCATACATATCACATTTATTAGCCAGATGGCCAGTTGATACTGGTGACTGTAAAATCAGAGACAGTGGATGATCTGAGATAATTACATTTATTTTAAGACTTTTTGGAAATTTTTCCCTAGGAGGCTTGCAGATGCTGCACGTTTCTGAGCACCGGAAGATAAAGAAGTGTTGACACTGGGTTGTGCACTGAAAAAAAAAAGCAACCTTTTTTTTGCATTTTCTTCATCATATTTAGTTACTTTAACAGAATTGTTTCATGTTAGCAGGGTAGGACATAAAACAATTGTTTTAAAGTAACTAAATATGATTAAGTCAAATGCCTAAAGCGGTTGTATTTTTTTTTCAGTGTGGGATGAATCCCGATCCTAACAAGATTTACCTATGATCTCCACATAGGCATTTGATTCATCTTCTGATACTTATGGTCTGTAAAATACAGCCTTTACTGGAAGTTTAGGGATAAAAATAATATCATTTTACATTTCAGACAACCATTACATTAGATATGTATGCATGTGATCCAGTATAGCAATATTCTTGTAATCTAAAACATGATATTCAAGAAGAAAAACGCTCTAAGAGGATTTAAATCTCATCTGATGGGGCTGTAATGCAGCAAGTTATCCTTAGAATGAGCTTTAGTGAAGTTTGTGATCTGAATAAAGAGTCACTTGTAGTGGTAATGTTTGGGCTCGTGGGAAGAAACAGGTCAGCGAGGGAGAAGACAGACAGGAAATGAGCAGATTAACAATGGCAAGACAACTGCCTCCAGACATATTTTGACAGATCTGGCTGTTTAGTCTTTAGAGCTCCTCTGAGTTCAGGGCCTGGAGTCAGGATTGTTCCATCTAGCTCCCATAAGGCCTAGCTGGTGCAAGCATGTCATGCACCACTTACGCTTCTGGACGAAAAGAAGAAGAAGATGACGAGAAAAAACAAAAAAAACTATCCTTTCCCCCTGCACAAGAAGGGTGTCAGTGTCGTCATGGTAACTAGGTCTACAGCTGTCAAGTGTTTGTCAGTTTCCACAGCAACATCATGAGGTAGAGA